ATCTAGCTTGTTTCCTTTTTTATATATATATACATATATTATATATGTAATTAACTTTGGCAAGTTTAAAACTTTTTCGGGAAAATACCTGAAGATATATTGGTATTTATTATATGGGTTGCAGGTTTGTGTATTATTTGTGCAGTAAGTTTTAATAAACGTGGACCGATGGTATCTGCACCTGATGATTTATTAACATCTAGTTTGATTAGTAAGGAAAGCACTTCATCAGGGCTAATAAGCGGGATACAAAACATTTCTGATCCCAATCTAGACTGCACAAAATTTAAAAGGCCATCGAAATCACACTCTTCTTTATTCACTCCTTCAAGGAGTTTAGCAGAGACATTTGAGAAATGAGAACTAAGTATCTCTGCAATTTCTTGTGTATCCTCTGTTACATTATTATTTTGTTCAAGTGCCGTCTGACTATAATTTCTGGGAGTAGAAGCTAATTAATTTAATGCATTCCACATCTGGCGTGGATTTTTGTTTTGCTCTACAGTTCATTTATAATAATTAATTTTTGCATTTTCTTTTAGTGATGTTACTTTATTTCGCCATAATCTGTAATTTTCAAAGTCCTTATTTTCATGAAAGTTATTGCGCTTGTGCTGTGCTTCAAGAATTTCTTGGGTTAACCATTTTGGTCTTGCATCATACTTCACTCTTTTAGATTATTTTTGCATGTTTGTCTAGTACAGCATTAAAAAGTGAATAAAATTTAGTTAATGCATCGTTAGGATTGGAGAGTGAATCTAAGGATTGAAAATTAACTTTTTCTAGGTCTGAGAGAAAGTTTATTTCATCAAACTTTTTGAAGTCTCTATATGTTATCTCCGTGTGCTTATACTTCTTAACATGATCATGTAATTTTCTTGTAAAACAAATAGGATAGTAGTCAGAGATTGCAACTGTCGGTACTACAGATTCACATATGTTCTCAGGTAGGTTAGTATACACATGATCAATAAGGGTTGAGGAGACATTTGTTATTCTCGTGGGTACATTAATTATCTGTGAAAAGTAAAATTCTTCAAAGGCAGAGGTCCAGTATCTTGGGGGGTCTTTCATCAATATTAAAATGACCTGTTAAAATAATTTCAGCATCGTCACAGCGGGATGCATAAATCAAAAGATATCTCATACAAATCTTTTTTAAATATTGTTTTTTAAACAATTTTATATGCTTTTTAAAATTTTAAAATACAAATGTGAATTAACATTTGTTTAATTATTAATTATGTAATTTAAACCCTAATAAGACTATTTATTAAAAGAAAGAAATACGCACTTAAAATAAAAAAAATATATATATATATACTAGTATACAATGTACAGTTTCTCTTTCTCATAGAATGAATTATGATTCACGAGATTTTTTTTTAATTACGAATGGCACTTGACACCTTATTTCTTCCTTTACATCACTCAGTCACTGTTTTGTTTCAACAGCAGAGAAAAAATGTGTTCAGAATTTGACGGCAAAATACCATATTCTGTTAGTATTATGTTCTTATTATTCATATCTACAAAATTCAAATTAATTACATCTACTGACAAGTAGAAACTGTAGTAAAAACAAAGCATCAAACCATCTGAAAGTTTTCTGCTGGCAAAAAAACATTCCTTTTTTTACAGGAAACACAAAAGAGTTACACTCAGGGAAATAACTCTTGATAAAATTTAGCACTTTTTTCTTGGAAAACAGAATTTTTACAAGGTTATATTTTCTTTATATAAAATAACACATCTCAAACTTTCTGGAGGTAAACTAATATATCTATAATCTTTTTACAGGATTAGTGTTGTTAAATTTTTTCGCTGCGTTTATGAGTTTCAACCACTTACATTTTAAAGGAAATAACAGCAAATGTGACAAAAGTATGACTTGCTGGTTTCCATGGAAACAGCAGTATCCCATCATTTTGCATATACCTGTATACTTGGCTAGTAGAATGTATTAATTTACCAAAGTTTTATTAAAATCGGTGACTATGGCTTTCCATCACATTTTTGTGCTGATGGAGAATGGCTCTTAATAGATTGCAAGGAGTGGAAAGTCATTGTTATTTGATGAAAGGAAGATATCCTTATTCATGACTTTGTTATAAATCTAGCACCATCGAACTGGACTATACATGTGAAGCCTGTGTATACGAGGTGTTGATATTGATGGCGCTCTTACTTTATTATTACACAATTGGCAGTGTGGCATAGAAAAGAAATTTAACGTGTGTCCATGAACATGCGATAAAAATTCATAAGCCATATTTTTTTTTTTTTTACGTTTTTATAAAATCAGCGTTACGCCAGACTGGCCTTCGCGGATTTCATAAACAAAGTGTTTATACCTATAATGTTCAAAATATAGTGCGCATTGCTTTGAATTTGTATATTAACCAAACAATGGTCTATGTTAAGAAATTACCGTGGTCTTTTGGCATTGCATCTTTCATTATGAAAATTAAGCATTTGTACACGAACTTTTTGGATAATTAATCCTCGTACATTGTCAAACTTTTCTTCGGCACAAATGCACAATTTCATAGTTATTAATGTATATCCTGAAAACAGACAGAAATTTCTGACTAAAGAACCTTTAAAAACAATAGGAATTCCCTTCTATACATTCACTCTTGACAAAATTAGTTTACTTAACCCGAATTAAAAGAATATTTTACATTATTTGATATAAAAAGTAACTGTAAGAACATTTGTAAAGTCAAAATGAAATATTTTACACATTCATGTTCACCATTGTGATTTGATATTAAAAATTCATTCTAACCATTATATCTCCTCCACAGTGGGTTTTAATCAGACTACGTCGACAGATTGTCATAAACCAAAAGCAAAATAACATATTCAAATGGTAAAAAAAATTAAAACGCTCAAAATTTTAGGTTCAATGTAATTCGAGAATAAAGTAATTTTAGCTTTATTGTGCCATAAAAAACTTTCAAAACGTTTTAAACTGAATTAAACATTAGTTAAGTTTATGGCAGTAAAATATCAAGAAAGAATATGGCATGAAGAATTACCACTCTTGAAATATGATTTCATTAATTTGATGCATTTTTCTATTTTCAGCAGAAAATGCCTCAAAATAATCCATTTCAATGGTTTCGTAACTTACTATTGATCTCGCACAGTTTCTAACCTTCTCATTGGTCATATGCAAAAGTATTTTGTTGAAACACACTCTAATTGCACCCACAAAAAGTTTGAACTTAACATAAAAAATGCTTGAGTTTCTGATTGAAAATATCTAATGCATGTCTTCCAACGACCTGCTGGAATTTTCAAGGGTACCAATTGCGTCCAGTTATTGGCAGACGTATTTTTGAATTCATATATGAAGCAAAATCTTATACATGAAAAGAAGAAAACACTTGTTGTTGCCTTTAAGTTGGCATTTAAATATATCGACGACGGATTATTAATAAACAATGGCGATTTCCATTTTATATACGATATATTCTGGTGAACATGAGGTTAAAGATACCACAGAGTCTGAAACATCTGTTTCATAATCGGATATTTTGTTTGAGAAAGACATTATTGGTTACCTAACAACCAAGCTCTTTGATAAAGGCGATGACTTTAACTTTTTAATCGTCAACTACCCTTTCTTATGCAGCAATATACATTCATCACCTGCATACAAAGCATATATATCAGTGGATTCGATAAGCAGGAAAATGTTCTACGTATGACAATTTCTAAATCGAGGTAAAATAACTACAAACAAGGTGATAAAATAATACGTTCACCAGCCTCGTTTTAAGTCATAATTTTGTAAATTCTGTGGTCGGTACAATGACCTTGTCAGCACATACAATTTATTATTGAGTCGAATTCTGATTGACTGGCTGTTTTCAAAATATTGTTAGTTTATTATTCATACACTCAATTGACGATGGATTCTTTCGTTGCTTCCCAATCATGACTGGACGCACAAGGTGAAAACGGTCAGTGGGGAGGTTCACTCTTCCATAGCACCTGATCAAACCTCTGATGTTTTGATGGTCCAAGTTTCCTCTGCTTCTATTTGGTATTGTTTTATGGAATTTTTTAAAGAATACAATTCTTTATACAAGATCGTTATCTCCTTATGTTTCACCTTCCAATAAGATATGCATATGACAGAATTTTTTTCTTGATGGATCAGATACATTGTGAAAGTAATGATGCAGTTTCTCGAATTTTTTTTCATTAAGATGTGTATGCTAAATTTATCACACATGCATATAGAAATGAATTTGTCAATCAAATCAAATAGAGTGCGAAATATACAGCGATAGCAAATAGTAATTAAGCCCAAAAGTCAATGAAACAATACAAAAAAGAAGCAAATAAAAAAAACACGGACCTCCAAAACCTCAGAGGTGAGAGCAGTACGAAATGTTTCCAATTTCCAATTTTGCAATGCTTTCATGTATTTGAAATGTAGTACATTGGACCTTAAAAAACATATGTCACATAACCTTGTGTTAAAACTTGTGTTTTGCTGACACAGTTGTTTCTTTTATTTGGAAAATAACTAAAGGATATTGTTTTTAATTTAATTTGTAAGCATTTTTTTTAAATCCAATCTTTTAGTTGTCACATTTTATTGACTCTAATCTACACTATCAAAAAAGCTTCCAGTGATTCAAATTTCAATCCAGACAGGATTTTTTTAAATTTTTGTTTCTTTTAGTGCCTAAATTTGTGTTTTATTCTTGATGTTTCCAAACACAGAGTTATAATATGTCGAAGAGGCTTCCCGATTCTCGAATAAATCTTTATAAATATAAGTTGTTAAAGATACGCATTTAGAGTGAATACAATGTGTGATTCATGTGGAAATAAAGGTCGTGAATATGGTAGACATATATTTTTCTACATTTTTCTTTTCGTTTTATGAAAGCAAACAGTATGTTAACTTCCCAGTCAGCCATTCCTCTGTTGTTCATAACAAAAAGGTACAAAAGTTCAACACTACACCGCATACTTTTAATATAATAATCAAATCTTAGAATGGACAAAAGGTTGTTATATTTGCGTATTTGTAATTTTCCCTTACATTTTGTTATTGATTTGATACAAAAAACAGAAATAACTTAATGAGGCTTAATCATCATCATTGTCTCCTTCACAGATGTCCCCAATGTAACTCATGGCTCCCAAGGGTCAGGCCATTCTTGTGAATTCCAGAGACCGTTGAGATAAGCATTATGACAGGCGTTAAACCACCAGCCTCCTCCCCAATGTTCAGCACAGTAAGATCTCGCACTAGCATTATCATTGTCTCTGTCTGGGGTGGAGAAATACATCCCAGACAGAACAGCCGTCGAACCCGCTGGTGGTTTACGCATCGTGTCACCTATATAAATAGAGAAAACATTAGTGTAAAGATTTTTATTCCTCATCAGCATTTTAAACACAATTTAAAACTGTTAAAATCAATAAAACATAATAGACGCATTTGTTCAATCAAGAACTTTAGAAGTACAAATGAAGTGTATTTTCATTTCCTTGATTATTCGTATTTTTATTCAAGATTATTGATCTATATAAGTCATGAAAACATTGTTTTAAAGAATTAATTTGATTGTTTTGTGAAGTATACTCGAATATAATAAAATTTATGCAATAAAACAATGCACACATAGTCATTTGGGGTTTTCCGAATGATGCCGAAAGTTTGCCACTCCGGTTAATTTATCTTATTGCTGTACTTTGCCCGATAAATCCATATATGAAAAACAAAAATATTATTAACAACATGTGATTTATCTTTTGCAGTGAAATAGGCAAGTTATAAATGACATGCGCCATTATAAAGTTATACTTCATACTTGTTTAATAGTTGATTTGATATCTGACCATGAAATAGTTTAAACTATCCTTTTTTTTTTTTTTGTTCTTTAATTTTGTTATGTCTGTTTGGGTTTATTTTGTCTTACAGAAGGAAGGATATGTATATAACGAACAGTATTCAATGTCAAAGTCCTAAAACAATACAAAATAGGAGGAGAGCAAACACGGACCTCCGAGACATCAGAGGTGGGATCAGGTGCCATGAAGGAACGAGATTCCGTCATGTGTCCCTTGTCATGAAAAACCCGTCGTCAATTCAGTGTATGAAAAACTACGAAAATAACTGACCCAGAGTTCCGGTAGCTGTTCCTCCAAGAAAGAGTCTGTATTTGTCTGATTCATCGGAAATAGAGAACTGCTGATATCGTTCATTCAGAGTTTGACCATTTGTTAATGTAATAGAGACGTACAGGGATGCTTTATTTCCCTTGGTCAGTCTGTGAATTACTTCATTTCCTTCAAATATATAGTGTTATTTTTTTAATTTTGTTAATATTTATAAAGAATCTCTGTAGACAAAATATAGGCAAATAGAAATACATATTTTTAAATAGATGTTAGTAATAATATAATAATATATAGATAATAATATACAATAATATAATAATATATAGTAATAAAACTCTAAGCATTATATTATTTTGTACAGAAAAATTAAAAAAAACGTAACTTGTTTGTTTATCTTGAATTTAATTTTGATTTATGACGTTACTTTTACCATGGACTTCCACAACATTTATTCTATATATATATAATATATATGAGATATATATGAAGAAAAATGACTATGGAAAATAGTAAGAAAGAACAAAACAGCATGTACTAGTATATCAGTGAAGAAGATAATAAATAGATCTTTTATGATATTTGATAATGTAAATTCTTCTTAACAAAAAAAAACCCCTACTTTGAAAAACAGTGAAGATCTAATGATGAAACAGATGATCATTTTTTTTTTAAATAAAAAAAAAACAAAACGTAAAAAGCATTTACCAATCCAGTATGAATCTTTAGGATTCCCAAATCCTTTTTTGTATTCAGCCCACGTTTTTTTAAAACTTACAGATCCACTCACCCGCTTCTGGATTGCCTACAAGTTATCATCAAAAATTAATTGTGTGTTAATGTCTGATAGAAATATTTGTTTTTTATACAAGTAGAGAATACTACGCATTTGATAAACTTATTGTTTATTATCGGTATCTTAATCGGGCATACATCTAACTTTAAATTAATCCTTCGGTTGAAAATATAATTTTCTCGACACCTGTAATCAGGAAAATTCATCTGGTTTTAAAGAAATTATATTATACAAAATGTATTCGTTAAAACGAGAAAAAAAATAATAATTATTATGCATTAATACAATATCAAACTTTCAATATTCAACTTATGTACCGACGGATACCCACACCGTACATAAAGAAAATTTTACATTTGAAAGTAAGTTTGGCAATGTACGAGGGCTGTTCAATAAATAATGTCCTGAACTTTATAACATACATTACAGATATCATTTGACATTAAACTTGACTTTCTCTCATTATTGAATCTTTCATGAATTTATAACAGTTTATGTGACCACTTTTCATCACATAGTTTTATCGTGAGAAGCAGGGAAACAAGGGCTTTTCGAGACACTGCATTATAAATGAATGTTTAAGAATCAGTAAACTAAAGTGAAAATAAAAGCTTCATTATAGCTGCCCTAAAACTTGTTAAAAATCCCAAAGAAATATTCACTGAAATATATGACATTTACAGCAACCGATGCCTGTTTTAGAGACAAAAGAGCAGGTAGATTTCAATGATCAAAAATTATATAATGGGCATCAAAAATATGTACCCTCCTTGCCAACAAAAATTATAACAACTTATGTACTGGTTTCAAATTTCAACAAATAATATTTGATGATGTATGATTGACTTTAAGACACATAGCAAAGTTGATAGACATCATATCGGGAGTAGTTTACACTGTTTTTAAGAAACGTTTGACGGTAAAAAAAAAAAAAGCTTGGTACTCAAAGGTCACCCTATATTTTGAAAAATGAGTGAAAGCGACAGCGTATACGAAATTCTTAACAATTATTTCAAAATATCATTAATTTTAGTTATCCACGTTTGTTTTATTTTAAAATAGATATTGGAACATGAATCTATTGATTAAAACCCTCAAACAAAATTTACCCTAAGATCTACTTGATAAAAACGGCGAATGTCTGACAAGAGCACAGATATTCAAGAGCATAAAGACATAATTATTTATATGTAATTTTCTTAAAAATTAGTGGTATTGTTGTTCAAAATCGTATTCGGAGAGACAGTTTAATTTCTGGAGGAGTCTAGAAAGCAATTTTTTTGCAAAAAAATCAAAAAGGTTTATTAGAGGAAGAACCCAGAATCAGGAATCCACTACACTGAATTTCTTAAAGACAGCGTTCAAACCCGCATGCCCTGAAGAGTGAAGGGTTTTTCGGGATAAACAGAAAGTTAATGTTTTTTCACATGAACAATATACGCCAAATCTTTGACCTTTTGAGTTGTTTCTATTTCCAAACTTGAAAAAAAAACACCTTTCAGAGGGAAGAAACAAGTCCGGGAAATCATTGGATCTGCCATTTTCCAGTATACTAAGGGCCATACCCAAAAATGAGTTCTAAAAACAATCAGAAATTGGATTAAAAAAATGTAAGGGACATGTTTTTACTTAAAAGAGATTATTTAGTAAAATCATGAAGACCAAATCATTGAAAAGCGTCTTTTGCTTCTTTCTGAGCACCGAGGACATTATTTATTGAACAGCCCTCGTATTTGTTGAGCACTCGAATGAGAAATCAAATATAAAAGTTTTAAAGCAATTATTTTGTGTGTTTCGCGAAAATTTAAAATCATATGAGATAAATAAATCAACTTTGATAATTATGTACACTGAAGGATATAACAAAGCGATTATGGTATGGGATTCGGGTAACATATGATTTGTTGGACCTGAATGAGAAAATAGTGCTCATGGCCTGCGGCATCGGGCAACATATTAACCGTAAGATCCAACAAATCACATGTTGCCCTTATGCACAGTCAATAATTGTATAATATTGTCTCTGGTTCTCTGTTGTTTTTTTTTTGTTTTTTTTTTGTGCTGTTTTCTTTCTTTATTTTATCTTCAGATAGAAACTTTACTTGTAGTTCCACAAGCTCAGAGAGAGAGAAAGAGAGATAGAGAAGAAAGATAAAGATGGAGAAAGATAGATCTTACTGTCCACCCTCCTCCATCAGTCACCATGTCACAGTACACAAGGACCTTGTTCTCGTTACCAAAGGGATTTATCTCATATACCCCAGACCGTGTGTGTCCCAGTAAATAGTGATCTTTACAATCCTTTTTCAGTTTTAAACCTTAATGAAAATATCAATATAAATGTCAGGACAGGATAATCATGGTATTTTGCAGAGAGAGAGAGAGAGAGAGAGAGAGAGAGAGAGAGAGAGAGAGAGAGAGAGCAAGAGAGAGAGAGAGAGAACATTACCTTTCTCCAATGTTTGCTCTTCTGTCCTGTTAAGATGATAATAGATATCGGTTATATTTCCATTTAAAACTGTAATTTTCTTATTAATTTCTTTAAATCTATTCTCACAATTTTCTAATTTTTTTCTGTTCTCCTGCTTTTGATTTTTAAATCCTCTTTTCAGGGATTCTACAGAGTTCACTAAAGTTCTGTCACTTTTAAGAAAATCAATCTCTCTTTTTAATGTTTCTACCGTTTGCTGTAAAGTGTTGTTCTGACGTAAAGAAAAGATCTGTTTTTTCAACGTCTCCAGCTTCTGTGCTAACGTGTCATCTTCACTTAGTATAGCAACCTGTTTTTTCAATGTTTCTACCGTTTGGTGTAAGGTGTTGTTCTGACTTAGAGTCTCCATCTGCTTTTTTAATGTTTCCATCTCCTGTGATAAAGTGTCATTTTGACTTAGAGCAGCAACGTGTCTTTTTAATTTATTTAGCGCCTGCTGTAGGCTGGATGCCATCCTTTTGGTTGACATCACGCTTCTCTTCACATACCTAACGTCACCCACTGCTGCCCGTACGTCCTTGGCCAAGGATAACCGAATAAGAGTTTCCTGGTTAATGAGTTGACGGAGAACATCGATCTCCTTGATATGTCGTTTCTTGAACTGAACCGTGAAGTTATAATCACAAACGCAGACTGTGTAAGAAATTGTCAAAAAGATAATAAAACGAATGAAAACGTTCATTCTGAAAACAAGATGTGAACTAACTTTACCAAATGGTACAGAATATAAATTGAGGGACTGATTGTAGATTATATAAAAGGGTTTGGAAATTAAGAATTAAATAAAGCAATGATAGAGGAATCAAATGACAGTTTAAAAAGAAGCTTGCATGACTAAAGTGATCAAGTCATTAGATATAGAACATATAAAGTATGGGAGGTTCCACGAATATTTTTTTTGTATGGAAGGTCAAGAAAAAATATCTAAATGAAGAAAAACATGAGAGAGAGGAGTAAAAGAGAGAGAGAGCGAGAGAGAGATTAAAAATCGAAGAAAGTGGCCTACATATAATCATTAAACTATGATCTGCCTGATATTAGGGATTACTCAATTTTAATGTTAACGCCCCTCCCCCCTTTTAAAAAAATTCAGAAACAAATAATTTGAAATTGATAATATAAACTATCTTGATTATATATATATATTTTAATTTCGATGTGGTCAGTATATGAGTCTTAACAAGAATAATATCATTGTGACCTTGCTTTTATCTAGTACTCTTGCAAATTTACTTTCTATATTTAAGGTAGGTCGGCAATTTGCTTTTTTCATCAATTTTGGTAAACGATTTCGACGATTCGAGTGGTTGTTTTGTGCACAGTTTATTATGACTTCAATGACGACACAAAGGCAACGTTGCGTTGTTTCCCGTTTAACTTTCTGCAAAGGATACCAAGACTGTACGAATCAAATAGATTTATACAGAGTTCATGCTAATGTTTTAGAATTGAATTTCCGTCTGAAGTTTGATGTGATAATAGGACAAATGAAAAACAATAACAAATCAAAGGAATGATTTATATGATTAGTGTCATTAAACTGCTGAAGGTCAATCAGAATAATTCAGCGTAAAAGCTATGGTATGCCAGAAGAAAGTTATCATACATGTACATAAAGTTGTTTTGCGGAAAACTTGCGGTTTATTTGTGCACAGGCTATTTGAAATTCAGGGGATAATGCGTATTGCATCATGGTTGCCAATCAAATTAAGGGCAAGTATATGCGTATAATTTTCAGGATAGAATCAATCACCTCCTTATTTTGCTGGCTGACAAATTTTAGAAAATACATTTAAAACCGTCCCAAATTTATCCAAACAGTTGGACTGTTAGAACTATGTGACACTGTAAACAACTTACAATTATCATTATTCTATATTTCATAAAAGAAGCTCTTAGTATTAAAGCTAAATGCAAGTATTTTACATTTTGTAATTGGAAATTTGATTCATAGAATTCGAAATTAACAATTTTTTTTAGAGTTAGGACTATATAAACTTTCGAGCATGAAGAAAGACCATTGCAGGTTAACACCCCCACGCTAATTTCCTCATTATCGGGTTGTTTTTTTTTTTTTTATCAAGTTTATGTGTTAAGCCTGAAATCCTATTGACCATGAATTTCCTTAAAATACAGGAATGTTTTATCACTTGCGTTGTTGTCGCCACATGTTAATTCTCATGCACGAGGAATGTTTATACCGTTCATCCTGACTTTGTGATCTCAGAATATCAATTTCACAATACAGGTACTAGTGAAAAAAATGCTAGTCGTCCTAATGTGTCCAAGCAATAAGTTACATAATGAATAAAATTAAATGGTGCATCCATATAGCCTTTTAAGCCTTTTAATTCCTACATAGTCAAAATGTAAAGACTATTACATGTAACGTGACAACGTTCAACATATGACCTTGCAGACATAAATAACGCAATTTTAACTATTCCAGCGATATAAAAGCAAACTTTGAAATTATTTAGCAAAAAAAAAATTAGCGAGAAGACATTGATTTTTTTTTATATCAATAGTTTCGATTCAATCTCATCCTTACATTTCTGAATAATTCGTCTACGTCTTTAAAAGAAACTATTTACGCAAAATTGGCTTTAAACGTCATTTTTCCATATATTTCAATAGTAAAGCATAAAAAAGTACAAACAAAAAACAAAAAACCGCATTTACAGAAACATAGCATGAAAACTGCGAGGACAAATTTAATTTAAAAAATGCTGATAATTCGCTATAAATTCTTAGGAACATTATACACCCTGCTCAACGCGTTATCGGCTACTCGGTTGTTATCGGACACTCGGTTGATAACAATTTTTGACAGGTTAGTAAATTATTTTAAATAAACTCTGTTAAAATAGAAACAGAGACTATTTAATGTAATTTTTGAAAACATAAATGAATACGGATACAAAATGAAGCCTCGATACGTATTACTATAGCATTTGTTAGCCTTCGGAAGGCTTAAAAAGTTAAATTTGTTATATTTTGCGAGTTTTTCTCCGATTGGCAATTTTCTAAATAGACTTTTTTCTTCAAAATCCTTAAATTTACCTTGCGTTAATGATTGTCCACAAGAAGACTTCCAGAGAATTTTGCGAATATGTGATTCAAGAGCAAAAATTGTCCAATTTTAACTTTTAGTATGTTATCGGAAATACGGTTGAATAATGTACTTTGTTATCGGATAACTCGGTTTTGGTTATCGGAAACAAAGGTTGTCATAAATAAGGGGGAAACGCAAAGAAACGACAGAAATCCGTATGAAACCTAAATATCTAAAGCGGCTGGTACTAAATTCTACTTTTTGGCTATAATTTGACTCTTTTAAGAATATGTAACTTTTAAAGGATGAGTGCATTTTTGGCATTACTCACTGAAATCTGCATGATCTTGACTTGTTCGAAAATACGATATAAGTTTTAAATTTCATTTTAAGGTACCGAAGTTGCCCGCGTGGCGCAGTGGATAGAGTGTCTGCTCTAGAGTCGCCATGTAAGGAGTCGATCTTTACGTCGTGGGTTCGTATCCCACAGTGGAACGTCGAAGTGGGTGCTAGCACAAAAAAAGATTCCTCACTGCTCAATGACCCTATGTGCTGAGTTTATGACAAATTTTAAAGCTCTCCGCCGGCAAGTCTCCATATGACTGGAAAATTTCAAGAGGGCGTTAAACAAGATACAATCAAGGTGCTGAGCGTATGGCGAAGGAACAATTGCTACTCATTTTTATCGACTTAGGTCAGTCGCCGCTGAGATTTAAACTCATAACCTTTCGAACACGAATACATTTATAAGTTTGGTATATACATGTAGAGCAATTAAAGAATTTAAACTCAAGGGTGGTTAGAAAAATTTCCAAAATACATGACAAAGAATTCAAAATTTTGAGGAGAAAAGAGGTTGATTTTAAAATATTACAAAATCCTAAACACGAATCTCTAAAACATCGGAGGTTGTTTAACGTACCAAGAAGGAATAAGAACCACCTGATGAACGGTCACATCCTGCAGTGTGCTCAAATTCAATGTGTAGATAGAGCTTATGCTCGGAGGGAGAGGAAGAGGGGGGGGGGGGGGGGCTGACATGGATTTTGCATTGCTATTGCATGTTCATATTGAAGCAAAAGATTTCTGGCACCAAACCTAACCACCCCCTATTGTAATTGAAAACGCAAATAACTGTGAGTAGAAAAAGTTAAACATGCCAGGAACTGAAGTGAATCAAACAACAACCCTTCCGCCCAAATACTAATAGGTATTTTAATGGTTGGGAAATGAGTTATATATATATATTTTTTAATTAAGTGTTTCTAACACAATAAAATTCCAGTCGGCTCCCTTAATTTTATTATTATTTTTTATTTTTTTTTCTGGACCATCCGATTCTCTTAAAGAATATTAGTCTCTTTAATCGACTACATATCCAAATTACATTATATTAGAAAAGAATTAAGAATTATAATTAATCTTTAATGTTTACGGCTGTCTGATTGACACAAGATCACAAGATCAAGTATTAAAAACAGTAATATCAACTGGATGATTCTATTTTAAGCTTCCAAAAATATGTTACCGTTCTTCTTCGAAGCACAGGCACTTGTTTCATATACGGGACACCCCTACTTAAGCCAAACCTGCTATACATGTATGTGTACCTGTAACTGTGACGTGCTTGTGATAATAAATTGAATTGGCATTACTGGACAAAAATGAGTCACACGGGGATCATGAGAGAATTTTTTGTTAAAGATAATGTATACGTAATACATGTATATCGAAAGTCTAAAGCAAAATTGCTATGATTAATAAAAATAATCAGATCAAATATATCAGATATATTTACGTCTGAAACCGCCTGAAGTTGTTTCCAAGAGGTTATCTTGAATGGAAAAGTAGAAAAATGATGGAAGAGATGAGTAGTTCTATTGCATAAATTTATAATTATTTACTTTATTTATATACCTTCATATTAAATCAAACTTTTATATTTGCTATTTTCAAGGATTGGCAGATTATAATGGACATTTTCCAATCTATTTATGAAGCTAAAGGAAACTTTTTAACCTAAGTGTCCGATTACATACACCCGTCTAAAACCGAAGTATCCGGCAACATCAACCGTGTTGACGATAACATGTTTTCAACTAACGAGACATTTTAAAAGACTGATTACTAATCCTTAATTTGGATTTTTAATCTCAGTTTGCTGATCTAAAGGTATCTGAATAAATTGACCAGTTTTTTTTTTTTTTTTTTTTTTTTTTTAAAGAATAAACTAATTTTGAACTCTACAGAAGTTAAAATGTGATGACATATTCCGAATTTTTTGTAAAATATTATTTGAAAGAGTTGTAGATCTTTTGAAAGAGAGTGATTAGGTTTGTGCTTTCTGCTACTGAAAGTAAAATCAATTATCTATCATAAATCACAACCTTTGTTTGCTGAAATACATATTTATTGTTGAAATATGAAATTTAAAATTACCCACAATTTCTAAACATTGTTTTTCTTGCACCGAGTGTCCGATAACAATTGAGTTGCTGTTAACGCGTTGAGCAGTGTGTTATATCAAATTTTCAGGATATGTTTTCTCGAAAGAATTTTTATGCAGTAAACTTGCGACCTACCTTTAATATAGTTCTTGTAATTCTAATACCGTGTGTTTCAATAGAAATATACTTTAATTCCCAGGTATGT